CTGCAGTGAACATATGTGTGCATGTGTCTTTATAATAGAATGATTTATAATGCTTCGGGTATACACCCAATAATGGGATTGCTGGGTCAAATGGTATTTATTTTTCTAGATCCTGAGGAATCACCACACTGTTTTCCACAATGGTTGAACTAATTTACACTCCCACCAACAGTGTAAAAGCATTCCTATTTCTCCACATCATCTCCAGTATGTGTTGTCTCCAGATATTTTAATGATTGCCATTCTAACTTGTGTGGATAGTATCTCAATGTGGTTTTGATTTGCATTTCTCTAATAACCAGTGATGATGAGCATTTTTGCATGTATTTGTTGGCTGCATAAATGTCTTCTTTTGAAAAGTGTCTGTTCATATCCTTCACCCACTTTTTGTTGGGGTTACTTGGTGTTTTTCTTGTAAATTTGTTTAAGTTCTTTGTAGATTCTGAATATTAGTCCTTTGTCAGATGGGTACATTGCAAAAAATTTTTCCCATTCTGTTGATTGCCGGTTCACTCTAATGATAGTTTCTTTTGCTGTGCAGAAGCTCTTAAGTTTAATTAGATCCCGTTTGTCTATTTTGGCTTTTGTTGCCATTGTTTTTGGTGTTTTAGTCATGAAGTCCTTGCCTATGCCTACGTCCTGAATGCTATTGCCTAGGTTTTCTTCTAGGGTTTTTATGGTGTTAGGGCTTATGTTTAAGTCTTTAATCCATCTGGAGTTAATTTTTGTATAAGGTGTAAGGAAGGTATCCAGTTTCAGCTTTCTGCATATGGCTAGCCAGTTTTCCCAACACTATTTATTAAATAGGAAATCCTTTCTCCATTGCCTGTTTTTGTCAGGTTTGTCAAAGATCAGATGGTTGTAGCATTATTTCCAAGGCCTCTGTTCTGTTCCACTGGTCTATGTCTCTTTTTTGGTACCAGTACCATGCTGTTTTGATTACTGTAGCTTTGTAGTATAGTTTGAAGTCAGGTAGCATGATGCTTCCAGCTTTGTTTTTTTTTTTTTTTTGCTTAGGATTGTCTTGGCTATGCAGACTCTTTTTTGGTTCCATATGAAGTTTAAGGTGGTTTTTTCCAGTTCTGTGAAGAAGGTCAATGGTAGCTTGATGGGGATAGCATTGATCTATAATTGGGCAGTATGGCCATTTTCACTATATTGAGTCTTCCTAATCATGAGCATGGAATGTTTATCCATCTGTTTGTGTCCTCTCTTATTTCTTTGAGCAGTGGTTTGCAGTTCTACTTGAAGAGGTCCTTTATATCGTTTGTTAGTTGTATTCCTAGGTATTTTATTCTCTTTGTAGCAATTGTGAATGGGAGTTCGCTCATGATTTGTCTCTCTTTTAGTCTGTTATTGGTGTATAGGAATGCTTGTGAGTTTTGCACACTGATTTTGTATCCTGAGACTTTAGTGACGTTGTTTATCAGCTTAAGGAGATTTTGGGCTGAGACAATGGGGTCTTCTCAATTTACAAACGTGTCATCTGCAAATAGAGACAATTTGACTTCTACTTTTCCTAGTGGAATATGCTTTATTTCTTTTTCTTGCTTGATTGCTCTGGCCAGAACTTGGAATACTATGTTGAATAGGAGTGGTGAGAGAGGGCACCCTTGTCTTGTGTCAGTTTTCAAAGGGAATGCTTCCAGTTGTTGCCCATTCAGTATGAAATTGGCTTTAGGTTTGTCATAAATAGCTTTTATTTTTCTGAAATACATTCCATTGATACCTAGTTTATTGAGAGTTTTTAACATAAAGGGCTGTTGAATTTTGTCAAAGGCCTTCTCTGTATCTATTGAGATAATCATGTGTTTTTTGCCTTTGGTTCTGTTTATGTAATGGATTACATTTATAGATTTGCATATGTTAAACCAGCCTTGCATCTCAGGGATGAAACCGACTCGATTATGGTGGATAAGGTTTTTCATGTGCTGTTGGATTCAGTTTGCCAGTATTTTATTGAGGATCTTCCTTCCCATCAGTGTTTATCAAGGATATTGGCTTGAAATTTTCTTTTTCAGTTGTGTCTCTGCTAGGTTTTGATATCAGGATGATGTTGGTCTCATAAAATGAGTTAGGGAGGATTCCTTCTTTTTGTTTTGTTTGGAATAGTTTCAGAAGGAATAGTACCAGCTCCTCTTTGTACTTCTGGTAGACTTCGGCTGTGAACCTGTCTGGTCCTGGACTTTTATTGATTGGTAGACTATTAATTGCTGCCTCAACTTCAGTCCTTGTTGTGGGTCTGTTCAGGGATTCAACTTCTTGCTGGTTTAGTCTTGGGAGGGTGTAGGTATTCAGGAATTTATCCATTTCTTCTAGATTTACTGGTTTATTTGCATAGAGGTGTTTGTAGTAATCTCTGATCATAGTTTGTTTTTCTGTGGAATCAGTGGTGATATCCCCTATATCATTTTTTATTGCATCTATTTGATTCTTCTCTCTTTTCTTTTTTATTAATCTGGCTAGCAATCTATTTTGTTGATCTTTTCAAAACACCAACTCCTGGATTTATTCATATTTTGAAGGGTTTTTTTTTTTGTGTGTGTGTTTCTATCTCCTTCAGTTCTGCTCTGATCTTATTTCTTATCTTCTGCTAGCTTTTGAATTTGTTTGATCTTGCTCCTCCAGTTCTTTTAATTGTGACATTAGGGTGTCAAGTTTTAGATCTTTCCTTGCTTCTCATGTGGGCATTTAGTGCTATAAATTTCCCTCTAGACATTGCTTTAAATGTGTGCCAGTGTACATTGTGTCTTCATTCTCACTGGTTTTGAAGAACTTATTTATTTCTGCCTTCATTTTATTATTTATCCAGTAGCCATTCAGAAGCAGGCTGTTCAGTTTCCATGTAGTTGTGCATTTTTTGTGTGAGTTACTTAATCCTAGTTCTAATTTGATTGCGCTGTGGTCTGAGAGACTGGTTGTCATGATGTCCGTTCTTCTGCATTTGCTGAAGAGTGATTTACTTTGGTCAATTTTAGAGTAAGTGCAATGTTGTGCTGAGAAGAATGTATATTCTGTGGATTTGGGGTGGAGAGTTCTGTAGATGTCTATTGGATTTGCTTGGTCCAGATCTGAGTTCAAGTCCTGGATATCCTTGTTAATTTTCTGTCTCATTGATCTATCTAATATTGACAGTGGAGTGTTAAAGTCTCCCCCTATAATTGTGTGGGAGTCGAGGTCTCTTTGTAGGTCATGAAGAACTTGCTTTATGTATCTGGGTGCTCCTGTATTGGGTGCATATATATTTAGGATAGTTAGCTCTTCTTGTTGCATTGATCCTTTTACCATTACATAATGCCCTTCTTTGTCTCTTTTGATCTTTGTTGGTTTAAAGTCTGTTTTATCAGAGACTAGGATTGCAACCCCTCCTTTTTTTCTCCTTTCCATTTGCTTGGTAAATCTTCCTCCATCCCTTTATTTTGAGCTTCTGTGTATCTTTGCACGTGAGATGGGTCTCCTGAATACAGCACACTGATGTGTCTTGACTCGTTATCCAATTTGCCAGTCTGTGTCTTTTGAATGGAGCATTTAGCCCATTTACATTTAAGGCTAATATTGTTATGTGTCAATTTGATCCTGCCATCTTGATGCTAGCTGGTTGTTTTGCCCAGTAGTTGGTACAGTTTCTTCATTGTGTCGGTGGTCTTTACAATTTGGTGTTTTTGCAGTGGCTGGTACCAGTTGTTCCTTTCCATGTTTAGTGCTTCCTTCAGGAGTTCTTATAAGGAAGGCCTGGTGGTGATGAATTCTCTCAGCATTTGTTTGTCTGTAAAGAATTTTATTTCTCCTTTGCTTATGAAGCTTAGTTTGGCTGGATATGAAATTCTTGGTTAAAAATTCTTTAAGAATGTTTAATACTGGCCCCCACTTCTTCTGGCTTGTAGGGTTTCTGCAGAGAGATCTGCTGTTAGTCTGATGTGCTTCCCTTTGTGCATAACCCAACCTTTCTCTCTGGCTGTCCTTAACATTTTTTCCTTCATTTCAACCCTGGTGAATCTGACAAACATGTGCATTGGGGTTGCTCTTCTTGAGGAATATATTTGTGGTGTTCTCTGTATTTTCTGAATTTGAATATTGGCCTGCCTTGCCAGGTTGGGAAAGTTCTCCTAGATAATATCTTGAAGAGTGTTTTCCAACTTAGTTTCATTCTCCCTGTCACATTCAGGTACACCTATCAAATGTAGATTTGGTCTTTTCACATAATCCCATATTTCTTGGAGGCTTTGTTCATTTCTTCTCACTCTTTTTTTTTTTTCTCTAATCTTGCCTTCTAATTTTATTTCATTGAGTTAATTTTCAATCTCTGATACCTTTTCTTCTGCTTGATTGATTTGGCCATTGAAACGTGTATGCTTTGTAAAGTTCTTGTGCTGTGTTTTTCAGCTCCATCAGGTCATTTATGTTCTTCTCTGTGCTGGTTATTCTAGTTAGCATTTTGTCTAACTGTTTTTTAACGTTCTTGGTTTGTTTGCATTGGGTCAGAACATGCTCCTTTAGCTCAGAGAAGTTTGTTATTACTCACCTTCTGAAGCCTGCTTCTGTCAATTTGTCAAAATCCTTCTCCATCCAGTTTTGTTCCCTTGCTGGTGAGGAGCTGTGATCCCTTGGAGGAGGGGAGACATCCTGTTTTTTGGTGATTTCTGCCTTTTTGCTCTGGTTCCTTCCCATCTTTGTGGATTTATCTGCCTTTGGTCTTTGAAGTTGGTGACTTTCTCATGGAGTCTTTGAGTGGATGTCCTTTCTGTTGATGTTGAAGCTATTTCTTTCTGTCTTTTAGTTTTCCTCTAACAGTCAGGCCCCTCTGCTGCAGGACTGCTAGAGGTCCCCTCCAGACCCTGCTTGCCTGGGAATCACCTGCAGGGGCTGCAGAACAGCAAAGATTGCTGCCTGTTCCTTCCTCTGGTGGCTTCATCCAAGAAGGGTACCTGTCAGATGTCAGCCAGAGCTCTTCTGTATGAGGTGTCTCTTAGGATATTTGGGGATCAGGGAGCCTCTTGAGGAGGCAGTCTGTCCCTTATCAGAGCTCAAGTGCTGTGCTGGGAGCTCCATTGCTCTCTTCAGAGCTGCTGGTCAGGGAGGTTTAAGTCTGCTGAAGTGGAACTCACAACCGCCACTTTTCCCTGGTACTCTGTCCTGGGAAGGTAGGGCTTTATTTATAAGTCCCTGATGCACTGCTGTCTTTTTTAGAGATGCCCTGCCCAGCAAGAAGGGAGTCTTGACAGTCTGCCTGCAGAGGTGTTGCTGAGCTGATGCAGGCTGTGCCCAGCTGCTGTGTAAACTTTCTGGCAACTTTGTTTACACAGGCAAGGTTAGAAACACCTCAGTAATGACAGGTGCCTCTCTCCCCACCAAGCTCAAACATCCCAGGTCGAGCTCAGACTGCTGTGCTGGCTGTGAGAATTTCAAGCCAGTGAGTCTTAGCTAGCTGGTCTTTGTGAGGATGGGACCTACCGAGCCAGATCACTTGACTCCCTGCCTTCACCCCCCTTTTTTTCAGGGGAAGGAGTGGTTCTGTTTTGCTGGCATTCCAGGCTCTGGCTAAAATGGCCATTCAGTTTTGTGCTGGAAACCCAGGACACTGGTGTTATAGGCACCTGTGAGAATCTCCTGGTCTGAGGGTTATAAAGATTGTGGGAAAAGCACAGTATCTGAGCCGGAGTGCCGCTGTGTTCGGAAGAGTACCTAATGGCTTTACTTCGCTAGGAGGGGAGTTCTCTGGCCTCTTTCACTTTCCTGTTGAGGTAATGCTCCACCCTGCTTTGGTTTGCCCTCCTTGGGCTACACCCACCCACTGTCTAAGCAGTTTCATTCAGATGAACCTGGTACCTCAGTTGGAAATGCAGAGACCACTCGCCTTCTGCATTGCTCTCACTGGGAATTGTGCTCTGGAGCTGTTCCTATCTGGCCGGCCATCTTGGTGGAAGTTCTGTGTTTTTTTTTTTTTCTTGATGTATCACATTTACTGATTTGCTTATCCTGTGTTTCTTTAATATCAGTATTTTGAAAATTGTTTCAGGCATTTCAGATATTTCTTCTTCACTGGAATCTGTTGAAAGAGAATTGTTGGGTTCCTTTGGAGGTGTCATGTTTCTTTGTTTCTTCATGTTTCTTTTGTGCTTATATTGATGTCTGCACATCTATTCTTACAGTTGCTTCTTCCAATTTTATGGGTTGGTTTTGTAGGAAGCCTTTTCCTATAAATGTATCTGTAGTATCGATTGGGTAAGGCACTTTGGCTTTGAAACCAGGGTGGGTGCAGTAGTGTAGTCTCCTTAGGATTTCTTTAGCTATAATCAGCATCAGTGGTGTCTGTGAGTTCTTCAGTTGCTTAGGCTATGGTTGAGGTTTTGCTCAGCATAGGGATACCAGGTGGGTCAGTCCTTGGTCTCCATATGGCATATGTGAGCATCAGTGGTAGTGAGTCCAGGCAGGCTGATCCTTAGGCCTCCAGGTGGCTTATTCAGGTGCCAGCAGTCACAGTGGTGGGCCCAGTGAGTACCAATTTGTCTACTGCATCAGGGTTTTAGTTCTCAGAGGAGGCAAACTCTTCTCCTGGCTTTTCAGGTCCCAGCTTCCCTTGACTGTGGCTCCTGAAAGATCACAGGCTTTGCTATCCTGGCTGCAGTGTCAAAATTATAGAGAACAAGGGGAAACCTACCCCTTGCCCTCTGAAGATTCACTGAAAAATCAACTTTATTAGGAAAGGGAGAGTTGGGGAATGTAGACAATTCTTTTGTGGGACAGTAAATAATTATTAGGGAGAATTAATTCCTCTCCTCCCCACCATTTATTAAGGTATAACTGATTATTAAAAATTACATGTGTTTATTCTGTGTGTGATGTTTTGATATATGTATACACTATGAAATTAATAAAACAAGCTAGTTAACATATTCATGCTACATATACTTATCATTTTTTGTCATGAGAACATTAAGGTCTACTCTCAGCAATTTTCAAGTACACAGTACATTATTATTAACTACAGTTGCCATGCCTAACTATAGTCGCCATGCCATAGAGTAGATCTCCAGAACTTATTCATCCTGTCTACCTGAGATGTTTTACTTTTTGATCAACATCTCCCCATTCCCCCCCATCCCATCCAACCCCAGTTCTTGGTAACCATCATTCTACTCTCTCATTCTATGAGTTCAGTGTTTTTTAGTTTCCACATTTAAGTGATATCATGAAGTATTTGTCTTTTTGTATCTGGTTTAGTCACTTAGAATAATGTCCTCCAGAGTTATTTATGTTTTTGAAAATGACAGGATTTCCTTTTTTGAAAACCTGAATATCATTCCACTCTGTAGATATACATTACTTTTTTAACGCATTCAGTTTTCACTGGACTCTTGGGTTGTTTCCATATTTTGGCTATTGTGAATAATGCTACAATGAACATGGGAGTGTAGATATCTCTTTGACATACTGACTTCACATCCTTTGGATATGTACCTAGTAGTGAGATCACTGGATCATATGGTAGTTCTATTTTCAACTTTTTAAAGAAGGCTTTATACTGTTTTTTCAGTGACCATACCAATATACATTCTCACCAAGACTGTACAAGACTGTTTCTCTTTCTCCACACCTTCTCCAATTCCTATCTTTTGTCTTTTTGGAAATAGCCATTTTAACAGATGTAAGGTGATATCTCATGGTAATTTTAATTTGTATTTCCCTGATGATTAGTGAGTGATGTTGAGCATTTTTTAATATACCTATTGTCACTCAGTATGTCTTCTCATGAGCAATGTTTATTCAGGTCATTTGCATACTTTAAAGATTGTGGGGTTTTTTGTTATTGAGTTGTTTGAATTCTTTACATATTCTGTATATTAACTCCTTCTCAGCCATATAGTTGGAAAATATTTTCTCTCAACATGTAGGTTTCATAATACTGATTGTTTCCTTTGCTGTTGAGTTCAGTTTGCTAGTATATTGTTGAGAATTTCCCCCTCTATGTTAATCAGGTATATTAGCCTATAATTTTCATCTCTTGCAGTGTTTTTGGCTGGCTTTGGTATCAAGTTAATGCTGGCCTTGTGAAAAGTTTGGAAGTGTTCCCTTCTCTTAATTGTTTTAAAAAGAGTTTGAGAAGGATTTGTGTTAATTTTTCTTTAAATACGTATACAGTTCAGCAGTGAAACCATCAGGTTCTGCATTTTTCTTTGTTGGGAGGATTTTGATTACTAATTTATCTCTGTACCCAAGCTTCAGATTGGTCTGCTCATATTTTCTATTTCTTCATGATTCCATCTTCGTAGGTTGTATGTTTGTTGGAATTTATCAATTTCTTCCAGTTATCCAATTTGTGGTGTATAATTGTTCATAATATTCTTTTATTATCTTTTTATTTCTGTGGTATCAGTCAGATGTAATGTCTCCTCTTTCACTTATAACTTTAGTTATTTGAGCCTTCTTTCCTTTTTTCTTGATCTAGCTAAAGGTTGGCTAACTTATTTATCTCTTTTAAAAATCAACCTTTAGGTGACCCAGGAATTCTATTATTCATATAGACTTGCAATTACTTCTTCATTCTTTAACCACCCTCCCTTCCTCATGTGTTTTTTGAGATCACAGGACACTCTGATACCTGGGCCTTTCTGGGTTCTGATGTTGGTTGGTATTTGCCTCTATTAGCATTTGGATTCTGTTTTATTTTCTTTTACAAGGCCATTCATATCTCTATTTATTTCTTTTCTTCCAAATGCTTATCCACGTCTTGTCCAAGCTCTCCTATTCTCCTGGTCTAAAAATCTTTGAAATGTTTTCTTATTTTACTGTCTTTTGAGTCCATTTGGGAGCAGTAAAAGAGATATATACATGTATTCAACCCATTATGTTTATCCAAGCCTATTATTATTATTTCTTGGTTTCTATCTTTATTTAAAAATATAATTTTGACATCATTACAGAATAAGTAAGTTTGTTATGTTTTATTGCTTTAGTATTTGATTTCAGATTGTGGTAGGCAGAACACTAAGATGGTAAATAAGATTCCTATCACCTTGTGTACACACCCTGGGTAGTCCCCTCCCTTTGAGTGTAGGCAGGAGCTGTGAACATAATGGATGCCACTCCCATGGTTAGGTTATGTTATATAGCAAAGGTGAAAGGTTTTGAAGTCCTTAGCCAGTTCACTTTGAGTTAATAAAAAAAATGAGATTATTCTGAGTAATCTTTACCTAATCAGATGAACCCTTAAAAGAGGATTTAGAAGTGAGAGAGATTTCAAGCAACAGAAATGTTGTCTTGCTGGCTTTGAAGGAACAAACAACCACATGAACTGCTTATGGAGGAGGCAATGTGGCAGGAACCTAAGGGTGACCTCTAGTAACTAGGAGTAACTCCCAACTGACAGTCAGCAACAAAAACAGTCTTCTGCCCTACAATCACACAGAACTAATTCTACCAAGAACGAATGACCCAAGCTTCAGATTAAATTGTACCTGTGACTAATATTTCAGCTTAGTAAGACACTGAGTTGCCAGCTAACCTGTACCTGGACATCTGATCTATGGAAACAGTGAGATAATAATTTGTGTTGTTTTAAGCCACTGCATTTGATAATTCATTATCCAGCAACAGAAAATGAATGCACAGGCCTGTCATGCTTCATATTCTATTACATTGAAGTCTATATATATATACGTGTATATATATATATATATATACACACACACACACACACACATATATATACATATATATATATACATATATATATATATATATATGTTTTCTTTCTGAGACTTGAATATGGCCTTGGGGTTGAGGGATTGTGTGTGTGTTTATGATTGGTTGTATATATTCTATTTCTTCATGTAAAATAATAAGATTGCTTTACTTTTACATGAATTTCTAAATTATGATAATAGTTTAAAGAATATTATTAATTAAATCTTTATCATTACCAGTTTGGGTGAGAGAAATTCATTTGGTAATAAAATAATATTAATATCAACAATAATATCAATAATTCCTAACACTAAATGCATGCTATATGGAAAGCACTGGGCAAAATGTTTTTTTATTTAATCCTACCAAGTATCATTATTATTATTATTTCCCTTTTACAGTTCAGGAAACAAAATCTTAAGGAAACTTCTAAAGGCCACATACTCTAGGAATGGCCACATACCCCAGAATTCTATCCCAGGTTGCCAAACTCCTCAGCTTGTACATTTAAGTTATAGGAAACTGCCCACAGGAATCTACAGAATGTTAACATTATTTTTATTATTATTTTTGAGCCAGGGTCTCACTCTGTTGCCCAAACTGGAATGCAGTAGCATGATCACTGCTCACTGTAGCCTAGAACTCCCGGGCTCAAATGATCCTTCCACCTCAGCCTCCCAAGTAGTTGGGACTACAGGCACGTGCCACCATGCCTGGATGATTTTTTATTTTTTCAAGAGATGGGGTCTTACTATGTTGCTAAGGCTGGTTTCAAACTCCTGGACTCAAGCAATTCTTCTACCTCAGCCTCCCCAAATTTTGAGATTACAGGGATGAGCCAGTGTGCCCAGCCAATGTCAGCATTATTGAAAATAAAACAATTGACTAGCATTCTTGCTTTTTATGTGTACGGTTTTGACTAGTCACATGCAGCTCTGCAGGCTTGTGTGATTTTGCTATAATGTAATTTCACGTCACTTAAATTTGGGAGAGTGGAATAACTGGTGAAGGATCCCAGCTGATGACCAGGAGGTTCTCAGATAATGGTTGCGTGTGCCCTGATGCTCATTAAGAAACCCAAGGGATCATTTGAGTTTGGATGTTTTCCTTTACATTGTGAGTGGAAATCACATGGTATTGTGAAGTAAATGTGTACACTTTTAATAGTATTTGGCAAGAAGGACCCAGGAATGTCTGAGGAAGCTAGGCATAAGGACCAAAAGTAGATGGAAAACAGGGCCACTTTATTATTGGATAAATCAGGCCAGAACCCCAATGATATAAATGAAAAGAGTTCTTGGCTTAGGTTTGAGGCCTAAATTGGACATCCTAATTCCCCTCAAGCCAGTATCCAAAGTTGGGATCTTATACCACCTATGCTTGGCTTCCTGGTAGAGGAACTTTCATTAGTGACCCGCAGGTTCAAGCATGTGTTCAGGAAGAGTGAGACTGCTGGGCCCCAAGGCAGCCTTGACTCAGTGAATATTCCTGCTGTAGAGAAGGAACAGGACCTAAAGATTCTCCAAGGGAAATGGCTACGTAATGTGCTGTTAATAAACATGTCTGATGGATTATCTTGGATTCTAACCAATCAGATTAGCTCTTTTTCCTCCCTTGGTGGTATCCAGAAAAGCATGAGGATTCTTCCTCTTACAATGGCAGTTATACATTTGGAGACTTAAGGAGTTTAAAAGGACCTCCCAAGATGAATCTATTCTTATTATTTATCAGACTGATATATGTCTGACTTTGATAAGCAGCTGAAGACATGTTATTTAAAGAATGGACAATCCATTCTTTGCTCTGCTTATGTTTGACTTTTTAAGTTCTAAGCCTGCAGGCATGGTGATATAAAGATAAGATGATGATTATATGGTAAAACAAAACCTAAAACAAAATCCCCTATGTACTCACCTGTATTCAGATGTGGAGCATGATCTTACTTCTAAGTTGAAGAAAAAAAATCACAAAAGAGTATGGAATTGAGAAACAGTTTTGTTTCTAGCAACTCTCTCCAGCCTGTTTATCTATGTTACACATCTATTGTGAGGCTGCCAATGTTGTCACCAACAGTCACATTCTATTAATTAAATTCTAAGGTGCAGAATGAGAAAGCTTTTGAAAACTATGATTAATTTTGAATTCCTTATAAACAACCAAATTCTGGCTTCCCCTTTATTACTTCTAAGTGAGAGTGCATTAAAAATATGTTAATATCTAGTTGCAAACTCAGGAGTAATTGCCCTGCCAGCCTTTTGAGATTAATTATAAATCCAGAGCTGTCATTACATTCTGACTGGTTTCTCTGGTCAAGAGTGGTCTGCCTCTGAACTAGTGCTTCATGCGCTCTTGACTGTGGTTTGAAAGATTTTGAAGTTCAGTTGAAAATCTGTGCTGCTACTTCCCTAGTGAGTTTATCTCCTTCCAGTTTATTTTGATGAGGGTCACATGGGGTGACCCTATTGGATTTAAGACCTCAGAGCCTATTAATTTCATTGTTTATATGCTCAAAGACAAAAATATTAAAAAATAGTTTAAGTAGAAAGAACTTTAGAGGCAGAATATAGTAGCAACTTTGAATAATTTATTCCACCAACAAAGCTATATTAATTCCTTCCAATGTGTCTAGCACTGTTTGTTATGGGCAGTGGGGACACAGGAGCAGACCAAATAACAGCCTATTTGATATGGTTTGGCTCTGTGTCCCCACTCAAACCTCATGTTAAATTGTAATTCCCCTTATTGGAGGAAGTGATTGGATCATTGGGGCAGATTTCCCACTTGCTATTGTTGTGATAGTGAGTGAGTTTTCATGGGATTTTGTTGTTTGAAAGTATGTAGCACCCTCCCCGTCTTCACTCTTTCTCTCTCCTTCTGGCCATGTCAAGATGTGCTTGCTTCCCTTTCATCTTCTGCCATGATTGTAAGTTTCCTGAGACCTCCACAGTCATGATTCCTGTACAGTCTGTGGAAACATGAGCCAATTAAACTTATTTTCTTTATAAATTACCCAGTCTCAGGAAGTTCTTTAAAGCAAGATGAGAATGGACTAATAGAGAAAATTGGTCCCAAGTAGTGGGATATTGCTATAAAGATACCTGAAAATGTGGAAGCAACTTTGGAACTGGGTAACGAGCAGAGGTTGGAACAGTTTGGAGGGCTCAGAAGAGAGAAAGATAAGGGAAAGTTTGGGACTTTGTAGATACTTGTTGAATGATTGTGACCAAAATGCTGATAATGATATAGACAGTGAAGTCCAGGGTGAGGTGGTCTCAAACAGAGATGAGGAACTTATTGGGAAATGGAGTAAAGTAAAATGCTATGTTTTAGCAAGCATAGCTAAACCTGCTTGGGCCTTAGAATTATGGTGGGAGGCAAAGGCACTTCTTACATGGTGACAGCAAGAGAAAATGAGGAATATGTGAAAGTAGAAACCCCTGATAAAACCATCAGATTTTTGTGAGACTTACTCACTACCAAAAGAACAGTATGGAGAAAACTGCCCCCATGATTCAAATTATTTCCCATCAGGTCCCTCCCACGCCTGTGGGTATTATGGGAGTGCAATTCAAGATTAAAACTTGGTTGGGGCACAGCACCAAACCAAGGCACAATGAGGAGGCTGGTGGGACTGGAACAGAGGGAGTAAGGAAAAGGGTATTAGGAGATTAACTCAGAGAGGGAATGTCAGGTTGGAAGATGTTACACTCTGGTAAGGACTTCTGTATTGGTCCATTCTCACATTGCTATAAAGAACTACCTGAGACTGGGTAATTTATAAAGAAAAGAGGTTTAATTGACTCACAGTTCAGCAGGCTGAAAAGGAAGCATGGTTGGGGAGGACTCCGGAAACTTACAATCACGGCAGAAGGCAAAGGGGAAGCAGATACATCTTACATGGCTGGAAGAGGAAGAGAGCAAAGGGGGAGGTGCTACACACCTTTATACAACCAGATCTCATGAGAACTCACTCACTATCATGAGAACAGCAAGGGGGATATCCACCCCCATGATCCAATCACCTCCCACCAGCAACCCCACAGACACTGGGGATTACAATTTGACTCAAGATTTGGATGGGGACACAAATCCAAACCATTTCAACTTCATATTTTAGGAGGTTAGAAGGGGAGCCTCCATAGAGTGTTTTAGTTTCCTATTGTTATGGTAACAAATTACCACAAAGTTACTGGCTTAGGAAAATACAAATTAATTATCTTGTAGTTCTGGAGGTCAGATATCCAAAATGAGTCTTGCAAAGTATATTAATTTTCTAGAGCTGCCATGAAGAACAAATTGGGTGGCTTAAAAATAAAAAACTTATTGTCTCCCAGTTCTGGAAGCTAAAATCTGTGATCAAGGTGTCAGCAGGATTGGTGTGAAGAATAATCTGTTTTATGCCTTTTCACTAGCTTCTAGTGGTTTGCTGGCAATCTTTGGCATACCTTCGTTTGTAGAAATATCACCACAATCTCTGCTTTCACCTTCACATGATGTCCTCCCTCTGTTCATGTCTGTGTCCAATTTTCCCTTCTCTATAAGGACACTGGTCATATTAAATTAGGGCCTGCCCTAATGACCTCATTTTAACTTGGTTATCTCTATTAAAGACCCTATCTCCAGATAAGATCACATTCTAAGGTACTTGGGGTTAAAACTCAAACATACATATATATATTATATATATATATATAATATATATAAAATTATATATAATAAAATATACATATAAAATATATATAATATATATTATATATATAAAATATATATAATATATATTATATATATGTATTTTTTTTTGAGGGGACACAATTCAATTTATAACACATGGGGTTAAAATCAAGGTGATGTTAAGACTGTATTCCTTCCGGATACTCTAGGAGAGAATCTTGACCTTGCCACCCCTAGAGCCTCCATTCCTGGGCTCATGGCTCCTCTCAGTAATGACACCACTCCCACCTCTCCTTCCTTTGGCTCATCTTCTCTAACTCTCACTCTCTTGCCTCCCTCATATAAGAACCTTTGTTATTATACCTGGAAAATCAAAGATAATCTCTCACCTTAAGATGCTTAACTTAGTCACATCTGCAAAGACTCTTTTACCACATGAGGCAACATATTTGCAGGTTCTAGGATCACAGGTTAGGGATTAGGAGATCAGGACATCTTTGAGGGATCATTATTCTGCCCACTTCAGAGGGTTTTGAGCAGAGGAGTGATATAATCTGCATTGCATTTTAGAAGAATCTCTGTACCTGATGGGTGGAGGAGAACGTTAAAGCCAGAGACCTGGTAGAAGGCTGTAGCAGTGGTTCTGGTGGAGGAAGATGGTGGCCTGGACCAGAGTGGTCGGGGTGGAAGTGCAGAGAAGTTGTCAGATTCTGGGTGTATTGTGAAGATTGATTTGCCCATGGACTGCATGAGACAGGTAAGATAATAGCAAATAACTCCTTATTGTTTCTTTTTCAGAATAACAGTAACTCTTATTTGTTTACTACCTTACATTTTTTTGACATGGTTTATACATTTATTTTCTCATTTGAATTCCCTGTAACCTTTTTATATATAATTATTTCTATATTTAATTTACATAGGAGGGACTGGAAGATCAGAGAGGTGATTTCTTCCAGTGATTTTATTTTTAGTTGTTTTGAGCAAAGTTTTTTTTGTTTAATTATCTTGAAATATGCTTGATGGGTTTTAAGCACAGAAATTGCTAGGTAATTTTATATTGGTGATAAAGGGAAACAGGTGTTCTCTGATGCCACCTTTGTTTTATAAATAAGTTCACAAATTCCAAAGCCAGAGGTAGTTCCATATTTAGTTTAGTAAGGATTAAATGAGTTAATATATACAAAGAGTTTAGAACATTGTCTGGTACATGTAAGCCCTAATATAATAATCCTGTCAGTTATTATTTAGTATTTAGAATCAGTACTTCTAAAAGATATTTGAAATGGCTATTTTAAAAAGGCAAAACAAAGAAAAAAATAAAGGAAAAATTTGTATTGTGTGTACCTAGAATAAGTCAGTTGCTGCAGTTAAATGTTTTAGTTCTGAGCATCTAGACGGCTTTGTCAAAAACAAAAACACCGTTATGTAATATAGTTCTTGTTGATTTGTAATTGAAATCAGATTAGGTCATCTAAAGAAACAGAACTTTTTATGGAATTCTAATCAAAATTTAATGTGCAGATCCTTTTACAAAGGGGCTTTGAAACAATTTTTTGGACTTTGTTTGTTTTTCTTAGCAAATATATCCTATCAGATGGACTTTCTTAAGTCTTAAAGAAGGCCATTCAGGCATGACATTAAATCTTAATGCAATGAAGTCCTGTATGCAAGTGCTAAACCTACATATTCTAGGTGTTTATTTTTTGTAAGTGTCCATTTTCCTTCCTGTTGCCAGAGTGACTTTTAAAAATGCAAACATGCTCATGTTTCTCCCCTGCTTAAAATTCTTCCCTGACTCTTCATTGCTCACAGTGGTGGTCTCAAGCTTATTTTTAGTCATGGAACCATTTCTTCAAATTAGAGCTTACGCAGAAATTCAATATGTAAACCAGATATTAGCTGAGTTGCTCTGGATGAAGTACAGGTAAGGACTTGGCATCTTCGTTTCCAGCTTCATCTACCTCTCTCCCTGTGCACCTTGTTCCAGCCTCCAACCATCAGGATATAATCAGAACCCCTCCGTGTGGCCTAAACAACTGCCTTTCTACCCATAAATTGCCACACTGGCTGCACTTAGTTTGAACTTAGATGAGAATCTAACTTATGAACCAAACTGGGACATTTTTGAAAATAAGTTGTTAAAAAATTAGAATTATATAAGTTTTGAAATAATTTACTTATTGTTCAACAAACTGGTTTTATGTTATTCTTAGGCACATAAAACAGTTCTGTTAAAACTGTTTTAAAAGGTCATTCTAAAAATATTAAAGCAAAAATTAAAAAAAAGCAAAAATAAAAACAGAAAAATTAAAAAATTATTAAAGCAGATATACTGATTGAATATTTTAACAAACACAAGTATACTAATTATTTTTCAAGCATATCGCTGTATTTCACTTAGTTTCTTAGTTGGGTCTGTCTCTGAGACTATAACACTGCTGCTCTTCCTCCCCCTTCTCCTCTTTCTCTTTTCTTTCCTTTGAGTAAATAATGCCTTTTCCCCAATATGGTTCTAAGATGTTAATAAAATTGTCTCTAATCTTCAAAATATAATTTTATGATACATAAATGGGAAATTTTTGATATATTTACTTCTCTCTGAAAATTATATTTTTAATGAGAATATATTCTCTCTGTGAGTACTAAGGTAATCAGTAAGCTCACAACAAATGCACGAAATAGATTATTCTCAATTCTCTTTTAAAATATATTAAAGTGAGTAAACATTTTAGCCTAGATATTTTTGTTTCAATCCAGAATACTTTTGTTTGACAGGCACTTTTTTTTAAAAGTTGTACTTTAGGTTCTGGGGTACATGCGCAAATCATGCAGGATTGTTGCATAGGTACATACATGGCAAGGTGGCTTGCTGCCTTCATCCCCCCATCTCCTCTATCTGGTATTTCTCCCCTTGTTATCCCTCCCCACCCACCCCCCTCCCCGCTATCCCTCCCGTAGCCCCCCTCCCAACCGACTGCAGTGTGTGATGCTCCCCTCCCTGTGACCACATGTTCACTTCAATAAGACAAATCTTGCAGATGAAGGTTTCTCAGGGCCAGGCTGCTAACTAGTCCTAGCTAGTGCTAGGCTGTGAGCTGGCATGCACTCTGTGCCTACCCAGTGGCTTCTGGAGTGGGTTTGAGGCACCCACCAGTGAGCTTCAGTGTTGTCCTCCTAGGAACTCGTTCCTGTGAGAGCAGAACCTCTTCTAGAGCAGAAGGTGGATCCTAAAACAGACAAGCAGGAAAGGGCTGCTTGAAAAAAAAGATGTGAAAACTGGAAAAGGTTAGCCAAGAGTTCATTCTTGTTGCAGCTTTTATTACCCTTGTGAGGTTCTTGGATAAAGCAAGCCAGAGGCCTCAGGTGGAGCTCTCCTTGGAGGAGAGTGAGTGGAAAGCTCTGCTTCTCAAGAGTGGTCCCTGTACAAGCAGCAAGAGCACGTGATTGACTGGGACGCCATCAGGGCTATGCTGGAAGCCCAGCAGGAGGCTCTACCGGAGCTGCCCCTCAGTCTCCCGAGTTCCCCACTGAGGCTATCAGGTGAGACCACAGCATGTTCCCCTTTGAGAGAGACGGTCCATATTATGCACTACAGGTCTCTAACTACCAGCCCCCTAAAGGCAGGTACAATGACATCACCAAGGTGTACACACAGGTAGAGCTCAAGAGAGAGTTGCAGCACCCGACCTTGGAACACGATGCCCCAAGAGTCAGAATGACGAGGGTTCAAGTCAGGTTTCCACAGAATTAGGCATGCTGTTAATAAATACGTGTTTAATTTAAAAAGAAAAAAAGAAAAGGAAAAAGAAGGTTGTCTTTATGATTGTTTAGAACATTTCACCAAATTTAGGTTTGGCAAAAGAGTAGACTTCTCAACTCTATTCCATTCTATTCTCTATTCTGGAACAGAATATCAATGTATCTGATTAAATATAGGATCTCCATCAAAAGATTTTTCAAGTTGAAATATTCCAAAGTGCAGTTATGGAATTTCAAAATTAAATCCTGTATACTGTTTAAATTTTTATTGTTGACATTTGTTCACATCCTTGTTTTTGTACAAATTTCATTTGCTCTTCTGTAAGTTTTGTTTTCAATAGCCTTAATTCTCTAAAAAGCTTTGCAAGCTAAAGGTTTTTGTTCTTCCATTTGTTGAATGCTTTGATTTAAAATTTCAATACTTGTTAATAAAATGTGATCAAAATTTAGAAAATTCGTTTACAAGAGTTGTAGACCACTTATGTTGACTTGAAAGTAAGTTATTCGAAGAATCAAACATTTCAATTAAAGCTTCATGATATGGTTTGGATTTGTGTTCCCGTCAAAATCTCATGTTGAATTGGAGGAGGGGACTAGTGGGAGGTGACTGCATCCTGGGGGTGGGTTTCCCCTTGTTGTTCTCACGTTCGTGAGTTCTCATGAGATCTGATCGTTTAAAGCATGTGGCACGTCCCTCTTCTTTTTCTCTCTTGATTTGTTAGGGTAAGATGTGCTTGTTTTCCCTTCATCATCTGCGATGATTTTAAGCTCCTTGAGGCCTTCCAGCCTCATGCTTCCTGTATAGCCTGTGGAACTGTGAGTCAATTAAACCTCTTTCTTCATAAATTACCCAGTCTCAGGTAGTTTTTTATAGCAGTGTGGGAACAGATTAATATATTTCAATTAAAGATTTATTCTTGATGGGTCCAAAACATTGGCTGATGGGGAAATGGGGCTTTTAGAACACCAGATACATGTTAGGAGGAGAGGGAGGAAAGTAAGGGAGCATGTCTTATTCCCTTCTGAACTGGTAAGGCAGCCATCATCTTAGCTGTCCATAGTGCTGTGGGCCACTGGAAAACAGTTGTTTCTTAATGTCTTGGCCATCAGGAATGGTCATCCATCTGGCAAACATTTTCAGTGTGCCTACCATATGTTAGATACAGCTTGGGGTGCTGGGGCTGCAGAGTCAAACTCTTAATCTTTTCTCAGAATGAACCTATGACAGGTGAGAGGAAAAAACCATTTTACCAGCATATGATGGGCATTGTGATGGAGCTATAAACAGGGTCTTGTAGGATCATAAAAGCAAGGAAATGCAGACTGCTTGGACAAGACAAGCAAAGGCAGCTCCTAAGCCGAAGTTTGAGGACAAGTAGGCCTTACCCAGCCTGTCAAAAGACAGGCACTGGGCAAAAAAGCAAGCATCTATGTAGCATGCTGACTGAGGACGCCTAGCATATTTAGGGAAACTTTCAAGTAGCTCTGTATACTGGAAGCTGAGTTTGTGTTGGGAGTGTGGAAAGTGAGAAATTTGCCTAAAATCAACTCATCAGAGACTGGTGAATGCTACAGGGAAAGGATTAGTGGCAATTCAGATACATTTCTGAAACTTTTGAATTTCATAAAGATGACCTCTCAGTGATAATCAATTTTATACCAACAACTCTGTTTACTTTTGTATAGCCTTACTGATAAGTTAGAACATGGCTATCTCATTGAGATGACAGATTACAGGAGACAGTTGCTCAATTGATAGCATGAGTCTATCTTGGTCAAGCATCTTAGCACTTGACACAAATTTATCATTTAACACCAACAGTACAAATCTTCATCTGGCAAATAGCTCAAAGATCAACAGGAAGCTGCCTAAAACTACAGGAATGTCCAACCAAGCAAGGTTCCACAGTGAGGGAGGAAGTGGAATGAAGGGGAGGAGATGGCTGACTTGAAACAGTGCAAGAGTTTGGGTGTGGGCCAGTGAGGCATTTCAGTTTTCTGGATAGTTACGAAAACTGAGCTTATGACTCCAAATGTGGGTTCAAAGGGAGAGTGGGATGCTGAAATGTTGTTTTTACTATTGTGTAGGCGGGGTTCCTGCCTCAAGAAGAGGTTTGGCAGTAACAAAGTTTAACTCTCCTCCTGGCCATCACTCTGGAAAGTGTTCCCACGACATGGCTGACTTAAAAAGTAAGTATCATATCACATGAGCAGTGTTGAAAAGAGGCAGAGCTGAGGGGAAGAGGGAAGCTTCTGTGTACACATCAACTTTACTCTTTGACCACTGTACCTTTCCTTTCAGTTTGTGGGTAGCTTAGGAAACCAAAGTCAGACAACATAGTTGGCTTTTGGGGGATAAGAATTGTGTCGTTTGGATGTTTCTTGTAGTGCTTTTATAGGATATCCCCTCAAAAGAAGCTGAACACATTAAAAAAAGAAAGTCTGGCACATTTCAATGCTGTGTTCAAACCTTCTGTTTTCCAAAAGAGGCCATCAGGTATCAGCAGCAAATCAATTTTGTGGGTTATAAAAGGAAGGTGACTTGGAGCTCTAAAATCTTAAATTCTCTGTTCCATGTCCTATGTTTTATAAATAAGCATAATTGGTGTTCAGAAAAGAAATCTGCAATCTCAGCCTACTTCAGGATGTTGGTGAGATGACTAAGCTTTAAATGCCTTAAAAGTCAGGATGTTTGAGCAGAAGGGGGCAAAATGTCTAGACAGAACAGATGGTTTAAACTGCCTGGTGATGTTTAGTCGGAATTGACCTTAGCAGTTTTTCCTCCTGGGTGAATAGCTTGTGATTTGTGAGTGTGAAGTGGTTAGACTGAAATGCTTTCTACTCTGAAGTTGTATGACTTTTTTTTTCATTTATTGAATAAAGATATTGATGGAAAAGACATAATTATCAAGATAAAAGTGTGTTTTAAAATAATACTTTTAAGTATTTGACTGTATTCCTTTGTCATTATGCAAACCAAACCTTGAGAAACAAAGATTGATAAGATCTTGTGTAGAGAAAGTCAAATATTCCAGTTCATTTGGCTTTGTGCCATGTGTCTAAGTAACTCCAACAAGATAGTCTGAGAAATAAGAGTTAATCTGGGAACATTCTGAGTCTTGTGTTTAATGTTTTAAAACCCTTAGAACTCTTTTGCCAAATTCTGAGACTTAAAATGCAAAGATAAGGATGATTATTTTCAATGCCAAGTGTGGAAATTATTTTTATAGTATCCCTCTGTGTTCCTGCAGTGCTATTGACTCTTGCAAAATGGGATCTCATCTCTCTTTACTAATGAGAACTCAAATCTTCCCTGGGGATTGGCAACTTTAAAGGCTCATTACTCATAGGTTTGATGTTATCTTTTCCTTGCAAATAACTGACGCTAGAGTCCTGAACATTTGCCTTTTAGCTTTTCTGTTTGCCCAACATTATGCTAATTCATCTGAAATGGAATTGTCAGTGGCTTCAGAATGTCTTTACCTTTCTTGAAAAATTGAAGTAATTTATCTTCACTGGAAGCTGTAAAATCTAAGCACCCCCCTTTTTTTTTTTTTTTTTTTTTTTTTTTTTTTTTTTTTTTTTTTTTTTTTTTTTTTTTTTTTTTTTTTTTTTTTTTTTTGGTCTTTTCTTCCAGGAGGTGGCGATAGAACATCATAAATATTAAAGTACAAAATGCAAGTGTTTTGTCCCTCAAGCCTCCCACTGTAGACTTTAACGACCAGCATGAGCCACTATTCAAGATTTGAGGCTTGGGTGAGCTCTCTCGTAATATTTGACTTCCAAGTCATATCTAAAGAGAGAGCAGAAGTACTTTCAACTCCACTGATCATTTGTTTTTCCACTTAGCTTCTCATTTTCTGAGTTTGTGCTGCTGAGCGCAGGAATGTTAAATAGGTTGGCCTCCAGTTGACGGGTGCTGAGATTTACCAGTGCTGTTGTAGGTTGGGCTTTTGAACCTAGAATTATTGCTTTTGCTGTAAACCAACATGGCTGCCATGCTGTTTTCTAGACATATGAGGATACTACAGACTCTATTCGAGACTAATTTTTAAAATAGCCCCTGGTATTCCCCAACTCTTTATGTTTAGCATTGTGTACAGTATTCTTCATGTTGGCATTTGGCAGGTTTTCCTCCTTTTAAGGCGAAGTTAAAAAAATTTTTTTAAAGGACATTTGTCAACAAACAATTTCACGGGAGCTTGGCTGGTGAATGGGAATTTGGTATCCTGCTTATGCACCTGCCGGTTGATTTCTGATTTCTTTATTAGGGGAGAGAGTTATTCCGAGGTTTATCATCAACAACTGTTTAATCCTAATAGGATTCGCTTTTAGAGTGATTTAATTTGAAAATATCTGCTGTTTGATTACCTTGAATATTTTCTTAAAACAAAAAGTTCCTGGTTTAGCAAGCAAAACTGGGATAGGTATGCGAAAGAGAATCCAGCGGACAGTTGAGCATAAGCAGCTAGAAGAGGAAAATGAATACATAGAGAAAGGAAGCTTGTAAAACTAAGGGTGGGAACTTTCCATGGAACAGCACTGAATAATTTTTTATTCAAGGAAACTTTAACTATATTGCAGTACGTCGCAATTGAAAATTGGAAAAGATAAGTGCTTTAGTGCAGTAGTTTTGCAAGGGTTCTTTTTCTAACATGAAGGTTTTTTTTTAATTGATTTCTGTTAAAGTACATCTAGGTGGTCAACAAGTGCTTATTTAATTCATTCCTAACACAAACATTTTTGAGTTCCTACTATTCACTGGATGGAAATCCTAATAAGTTTGGGTATGCAAATACAGAGGAGACACAGTCCTGCTATCTCAAGACAGTGCTCTCTAACAGGTGGAGATAGACTAGCAATTATCGGTAAGTAATGCTTTCTAAAAACACGTAGGTTTTTCAGATTTTGGTAATCAGAGCATGAAAGAAAGTCATCAAGGCCAGCTCTATGCAAGGCTGCAAAGCTGGGGAAAGTATCAAAACAGCAGATTTTCTGGTTTTAAGTTCTAGCTTATCATTCATTAACTGTGTGCCCACGGGGAAATTGCTTCAACTCTCCAAACTTCAGTTTCTCATGTTAAATGGGAATAATAGTACTTGGTGGTGAGTCTGTTGTTGGGATTTAATGAAATAACGTAAGTAAAGTATTCAGTATGGCACTCATTTGAGACTCAATAAGTGGTAACCACTGTGATAATTTCTGCTGGTCTCCCTGCAGCTGGCTTCCTTTCGCTGCCCAGAGCTTGGCGCCTTGTGCTTGCTTGTTGCTGCTATTCTAGAGGAACACTCCTCCTGCCTCTTCAGCAATACATGGATGCTGTGATGCTTCCTTTAGGTCTGCCATCTCCAGGGAATGGGGTTCTATTTCTAGAACTTACTTCAGGCTCCTGATTTCTGCATGATCCAGTTAGATAACCCAATAGACTAGCCTGTGCCAATTAGGTCAGCGCTAACCTTCACCTTTACCTTGTTGAAGGAGGGCTGCTGAGACAGCCTGTCAGTGTGCGCCCTCCGGCATTCTGGCTTTTCTTCCTGAGGAGGGCTGCCTGTGGTCCTGTAAGAGTTGTGTTTCTGGTTCCAATGGCTGGACAGTCCAGGTATTCATCAAAAAGTGTCTATGAAGGGACTCTTCATTTCTAGATGTTGGGTGGACAGTGGTGGACAAAACAGACACTGGTGTCACATGGAGCTTGGAGAAAAATGGAGACATAGACATTACACAGACAGACACACAGGGAAAAATATTTACAAATTTGGTAAGTACCACAAAGGAAGTGGTATGAGGAAGAATTAGGAGTCTGATTTAGATCAAGAAAGTGCATTAATTTGCTAGGGCTGCTGTAACAAAGTGCCACGAGCTATGTGACTTGAACATCAGAAATTTACTGCCTCAGAGCTCTGAAGACTAGATATCTGAGATCAAGATGTTGGCAGGCTTAGTTCCTTCTGAGGTCTGTGAAGAAGAATCTGTTCTATGCCTCCCTCCTAGCGTCTGGGGGTTTGCTGCTAGTCTCTGGCGTTCTGTGCTTTTTGCTACACCATCCCAATCTCTGCCTTCATCTTCACATTGTCTGCTCCTTGGTGTGCATGTCTGACTTCAATTTTCCCCTTTTTATAAGGACTCCAGTCCTGTTGGACTAGAGGCCCATCCTACTCCAGGAAGACCTCATCTAATTAGATCTACAGCAACCCTATTGCCAAACAAGTTTACATTCTGAAGTATTGGGGATTAGGACTTGAATTATGTGGTTATGCAATTCAAACCCCTACAGTCAACAGGGAAGAGCTCTCCAGGGCAGAAAAGAAAGAAAGACATTTTAGTGGTAGCAGTGTCTCTTGGGGCTCTACAATCATTCAGTATAAACAGCTGTTGCTTAGCCCTGTGTGAAGCTGGCCTCGTCACAATAGCTTTGGCTGGGAATGGAGACAGAAAAACTCACATGGATTGTGTTTGTATATCTTGTTACTCATCTGATACTACATTTGAAAGTGCAAATTCAGTCTCCCACACAAGAGATGGGGCAGGAGGCTTTTTTATTTCTTGTGCTTTGACATTAATGTGATGATCACTCTAGTTATACTTCTGGGTCACAGGGCAGGGGATGGAAATTTGGATAGTGTGAAAGATTTATACAATCATCTCACATGTCAGAGCTGCATGGAAGTTTTAGATACTGAAAAAGTATCATCTGTGTTTTCATCCATCCATCCATTCATCCATCCTTTGCTATATGTGGGCACTCTGGTAGCTACTGGCAATACAATCAGGTGATAGAAAAAATATTTAACTGGCACCATGGCTCATGCCTGTAATCCCAGCACTTTGAAAGGATGAGGCAGGTGGATCACAAGGTCAGAAGTTTGAGACCAGCCTGACCAACATGGTGAAACCCCATCTTTACTAAAAATACAAAAATTAGCCAGGCGAGGTGGATCATGCCTGTAATCTGAGCTACTCAGGAGGCTGAGGCAGGAGAATTGCTTGAACCTGGGAGGTGGAGGTTGCAGTGAGCTGGGATCACGCCACTGCACTCCAGAGTAATAGAGCAAGACTCCCATCTCCAGGAAAAAAAAAGAAAAGAAAAGAAAAGAAAAAAAATATATTTAACTACTCCTGATGTCAGGGCACTGGCCAAAACTAATAACGTCAGTAAACAATTGGTATGGCCCCCTGCCACTGCACTAACTACCAGCCACATGTACAATACTTAATAACCAGCAATTGTCCTAGGTCTCACGAAGCTGGCAGCTGGCTAATAGAAATATGCATACACCTGTGTAATTTAAAGTTGTTTTTTTTTTTTTTCCCTAGAGTATGGGGTTTCATTTTGTTACCCAGGCTGGAGTGCAATGGTATGATCATGGCTTACTGAAACCTCAAATTCCTGGGCTCAAGGAATCCTCTCACCTCAGCCTCCTGAGTAGCTGAGACTACAGTGTGCACCACCATACCTTGCTATTTTTCAAAATTGTTTTTTATAGCGATGTGGTTTTACTGTGTTGCCCAGGCTGGTCTCGAACTCCTGGCCTTAAGCAATCCTCCAGTACTGGCCTCTGAAGTGCTGAGATTACAGGCATGAGCCACTGCACCTAGCCAATTAAAATTTTTTTTTTAATAGCTATGTTAAAATGTAAGAAGAGACCACTGAATTTAACAATATATTTTATTTACCCCAATTTATCATTTCAACATGCAATGAATATAAAAATCATTAATGCAATATACCACATTCTTTTTTAATACTAAGTCTTTAAAATCTGGTATGTATTCTAACGCATTTACAGCACATCTTAATGGACAAACCACATTTCCAGGGCTCAATATTCACGTGTGGCTGGCACCTACCATATTGGATAGCACAGGCCTCAAGGATAAATAAAGATCAGAGATCTAGCTCTCACTTTGTTAGAAAGAGAAGAGACCTACATAGAATAAATGTCCTTTGAGGGGCATTTGAAAGAGATGTAGCAGGGGGATCATGGAGTGAGAGAAGTATATTAAAACATTAAATGAATATATTTTTCATTTCACTTTCCTCCAACTTGAAATCATGTTTTCTTGCAGCCTTTCTGTCAGTATGAGTCCCAGAAACGTGGTGAGCATAAATAACAATTTGGGAGAAGAAAATAATCTGAGGCAAGGCCCTGAAAAGTAAGATAAAGAAATAAAAGAAGATTCTTCTAATATGAAGAAGAAAAGGATAGACAGAAGGGAGGGAGCAAGAGAGAGAGATGTCAGTGTCCTTGCTTTCTCTGACTCTCTTAGGGTTGAACTGTGATAACAGGCGGGGTCTAGAAATGTGTGTGAGCATGAGGGAATGTAATGAAATTGGTAGTAGTGGCCCACTTCCATAAAGCATATGAAAGGGCACGAGACTATGCAACCCCAATATACGCCTCTTTGGCATGAGATATTTTGAACTAAAGCCATTGAGAACCAGCAGATGTAGGGAGAACTCTCAAAACAAGGCACAGTTTTCTTTTTGTAAAGGAAAGGTTGTTAAAATGTGCACACTGAATGAAGAGACTCCCCAAACAGGCTTTGTGTGAGCAAAATGACTATTTACACGGGTGCAGGTGGGCTGAGACTGAAAAGGGAGTCCACAGAGGGTGGTGGGTTAGGAGTTGTTTTTATAGGTTGGGACAAGTGGTCAGTTAAAGGTGGTAATCTATTTTAGGGAGGGAAAGGGCATCACGGGATGCATGGTCACAAGGGTAGGGGTTATCTATTACAAATAGGCATGATCATAAGGGTGGGTGTTATCGGTTGCAAGCAGAGGGGAGTGTGCAGTAAATTACATAGTTACAGGGGTGGGGTTCTTGAGAAACCTAAGGTCCAGGGGGGAAGTTTCACAAGGCTGAGCAGGAACAATGGTTGCAGGTTGCAGGTTGAAGGTGGAGAGCAATTAGTTGAGGCAGGAAGAAGTTGTTTCACTTCTTTCTGTGGCCACCTGGTTACTTGTGGTTACCTCAGACTTTCTGGCTTCTGGGGACCATCCAGAGGTGTGCGTGCAGGTCACCAAGGATATAATGGCCAGGCTTGGACTTGGAGGCCTAACAAAGATTACATTTATGAAGGAAATTTCCATTTGTAAAAGGTGTCTCCCTCCACCATAGCAGGACGAGTAGGATTCTTAACAGCTCTTATCAATGGAGAAGGCACATAGTTAAATCTTTATAACCTTACTAAACAACCCTTGGTTCGTATACTTTTCCTGGTTATCTTCCCATAACTCGACCACCCAGAAGCTCAAACTTTCTTTCCTTTATTTAGCCTAAGATATTACACAAGCCCAAGTTCTATCCATCCCTTGAGGTTACTTATCACTGGGTGCTCCCATGTGTACATACATGTGTTAAACTTATGTTTATTTTTCTCTTTTTAATCTTTTGCAAGACTAACTTATAGGGCCACAGCCAGAAAACCTAATATAGGTAGAGAAAAAAGGTTTTCTTCTTCTTCCCTTCAAGAGCTTGGGGAAGAATGCAAGCTTCTGTATTTAAATTGGCACCATATCCCAGAAGGTGAAAGAAAGGGCAATGGGGTAGAATGGGATATAGTGGGGGGGGGGGGGGGGGGGGGGGGGGGGGGGCGGAGAGAGAGAGAGAGAGAGAGAGAAAGAGATAACAGGAAAGAGAGATGGGCCTGAGGCTGTGGGCAACCACAGCCTGCTCAGGATATAACAGAGCCTCTGTGTGCCCAGTGAGGGGGTTTGGAGACACTCAGAGGTTGGAGTACCATTAGGGGCTAAGAATCAGAAGAAATAAATGAATAATTTGAGGACCTGTTAACTGGAAGCAAATGACTGAAATCACGGACTGTAATAGCGGATGTCAGCTCGTTGTCCCTGAAGGCCAGGGTGATATTGTGATATAGAATATATATTTGGTTTTCACTCCCAGTTCCTGGCCCAGAGCTCCTAAAATCCTGGTAATTTCCTGAATGATAGGGGTAATATAAACATCTTTTGTTATATTTTGTCTTAGTACCAGATCCCTGACACAGAGCTTCTAAGACCCTTGCAATCCCCACAGTGATGAATGTCTTTTGCATGGTAATGAGATGATTCGTGGCTGGGGCCCCTAGAAAGCTAGGGGCTGCTCACCATGAAGACGAAGCCATAATGAGAGGGCTTGAACTTTCAGCCCCACTCTCTGATTTTTGAAGAGGGGAGAGGGGCTGGAGATTAAGTCAATCACCAGTGGTCAATGATTTAATCATTCATGCCCACATAATGAAATTTTTATAAAAACCCTAAATGACAGCGTTTGGAGAGCTTTTAAGTTGATGAACACAGTGATATGCTTGGAGGGTGGTGCACCCAGAGAGAACATGGAAGTTCCACACTCCTTCCCACACATCTTGCCCAATGCAGTTCTTCCCTGTGGTTGTTCTTGAGTTGTATCCTTTAAAAGAAGCTTGTAAATGTAAGCAATGTTTTCCTGAGTTCTGTGAGTTTGTTAGGAGCTGTGAAAAAGTTCTGAAAAAGGAATTTGGAGGGAAGAGACTTTTTTTCCAGTAAATAGTTCGCAAACCGGCAGAAGCAGCCTTTGGAGTAAAAGTAAGTTACCTTCCAGAGAAAAAAGAGAGAGTTTGAGTTTTACAGCAAAATTCTGGTCCAGATTCCCAACCACGTCTGTTTACACAAACGGAGGATTGAAACTCACTTAGTTCTGATTGGTTGGCACAGCTAAGTTCTGATTGGTCAATACAGCTGAGCCCTGATTGGATAATACAGCTGATATTTGATTGGTTGGCTTCCAAGCCCTGCACCAGAGGACTCTGTCAGATGATTCTAACAGCCCGTAGGGGTGTTTCAGGCCACAGTTTATCTTGGTACCAACAACAGGACCTGGTTTGACTTAATTGTAGAAAGCGAAGTCCTGTGGTACTTTTACGATATCTTTCTGAGAACACAGAGTAAGTGACTGCTCCCTCAGTCAGCCGTGCTGCCTGGTTCTATTTTAACTTTGAGCACCTCAAAATGTCCATTTGTCAAAATGGGAACCCCTGATTTATAGCCAGTTGGTCAGAGCATGGGAGGTCTGAACTCGGGATTGGCGTCTGCAGTGAAGGTAAGTCTTGTTGTGGGGCTGGTCCCTTAACCTATGGAATCTGATGCTAGCTCCAGGTACATAGCGTCAGAATTGAATTGAATTGTGGGACACCCAGTTGGTGTCCTGAAAGTTAGAGAATTGGTTAGTGTGGGACCCTCCTCCCTTCACCAATGTTTGGTGTTCTGTGGATAGAAATAGATCACAGTAGCTAGAAGACTCACAGGGACCAGAGTACATCGTAAAGGGCCAAGCAAAACCATTGCAGAGGAGGAAAAATTGCCTCCTTCTACCTTTCCAGGTTCTTGTTGGTCTAGAAATTAAATTGACATAAGATTAACACAAGAGAACAGTTTTAATTATGTATATGTGCATGGCAGTCCCACAGAAGAATGATACTTAAAGAAGTGGTCAGATGCGGTTTATGTATCACCCGGAATTACAGAAAAGAATAGGGATTTGGGGTTGAGGGAAATTATAGGCAGGTGGGAGAAAAAGCCAAATTAAGAGGAGATGGCCATGAATAGTACATTAAACAAAGTAAGGTTTGTTATGTCTTCTCGGTTGATTGAGTCCCTAGAGATTTAGTTGTCTTTTTCTTTCTGGTGCAGAGAGGGAAGCACCACTGCAAATGGAAGTTTCCTTTATTGATGTAAATTTCTCTTATAAAAGGGTAACTTTTCGGAAATTTTCTGCCTGCAGTTTCTCAAAACAACCAGCTCAAAATAATCAATATGCCGAAAAGGCACATTTTAGGGTGGCATATTCTGGTCTCCTGCAGTCATATTTTGGTGTGGTGTGTCCTCACCCCCATCATCATCTATTCTTCAGCATCAGCAAAAACCTGGAGAACTCAACAATTGCTGAGGCTTGTTTGCAATGGTCAACATCCAGTCTGGAAAACAGAACCCATGCCAGGCAGTAGAGGCCATTTATTATGGAAAATAGTTGAAGAGGTGTTGGAAAAGCGAAAAGGGGGAAAAGGTGAGGCAACCTCTAGATTAAAAGCAAGAAGCCTTCATCTCTAGGGCTTCAGTAGCTCCTTGCAGGCAAGATGTTCAACCCAGCTACTCTGTATTTCTCTAAAGCACTGTTGTACCTGTAACAAGGAAGAGAGAATGGAGGTATCTGAGCTGATAAAGTGAGTGAGAATGAATGTAAGATCTGACCTTACATTAAGTCAGGAGTGGTAAAAGCAG